GTCACTTGTTTATACATACATATATGTAAAATTGTAAGCAATTGAAAACTTGTTTATGAATGATTTTAAGTTAAAAACTAGAGATCACTTTGTCACTGGTGTTTAATTATAACTGCATTGTGTTTAACTTTTGCTTTTACATAAGCTTAATACTTTTTTTCTAATTTGGAATAAGTAACACAAGAATTAATGAAGCCGGCAAAAAATGCGATGCATCGCGATGCAATAACCTTAGTAAAATGGCGACGAATTAAGAAAGAGAGAATCGCCGTGGTCTATCAAAAGTGGATTTCTGTGGATTTCTCTTAATTTTCTTAAAGAGACAAAAGAGACAAAACTTAAATGGAGGAGTTTGATAAACTACAAATACATATTTATATATTTTTTAATACATTTTTATATTTTAAGCCATGAGACAAGAGTGTAAAATAATCGAAAAAAAAAACTTAGCATACATTTTTAGGTTCAAGTACTTTCCCAAATCGCGAAGAAATAAAACAAATTTAAATAATCTTAGTGCTACTTTTTTTGAGCAGTGCAGGTCCTTGGGGAGTTGTCAGGATGTTGCCACTGCCTGTATTTTAATAATGCATCGAAATGAAAGTGGCTGTCAACTGGAGATTTGACAGCTGCTTTATGCCGGCGACAAGGATCGATGATGGAATCGCAGTGGACTGGTAGGTAATGCCCATTGGCATCACGTCAGGTGCGTAGACAGACTTGCCACAGATTATTTCACTTAACGCCCCGGATAATGCGAGGTAATTGGGTGGGGGAAATGGGGAGGGCGAGCGGGGAAACCGCCGGCTCATTAGCACATGGCACTCGAGGAATCCCCAGCCCGCACTTACTCATAAATGCCATAGATCTTTTGGGGGCCACCAGCTGGCCCACTCGATGGCATAAACAGATTGCATGGGGCCCGCTTTGAAGTGCGAATTACCCGCGGGGTCAACTCCAACAAAATATCAACACAAAAACAACAGGGCCCCTGGAAAATACCAGGGAAAATGGGGCTTTGGTTTCGCTTTTCGGCCGTAATACATCTTGGAAATCTGTTTAATGGGCCGCCGGCCACTTGAGAGGCTTTTCCGAAGCTGTTGCTATTTTAATGTGGTCGATATTCTAAATTTAAACAAATAAACAAACATCCATCCAATGCTGCTTTTGCTGATACTGATGCTGCTGCTACTGCTGCTGCTGTTGAAAGTTTATTGTTTTTAAACCTGTGCCTGTGCAGCAAAACTGTTTGATATTCCTTTTCGTTTGCCCGGTTGAGTAGCCGATAATTTGGCACTTAAAACGTGCGAAATTCATTCACATTTCCACTTGATTCATTTTGGCCGGGAAAAGCAATCAATGTGAGTGCTCGCTTGCTTTATGTTTTTCCGAACACATCCGCCCAGCTCCTTTTTCCCCACCGTGAAAACGAAAAACTTTTCTTGCGGCTGGAAATCAATATGAGTAATACGAAATAATAATCCATGAGATTCCCGTGGTTTGGGGGCCACTCGATTTCGATTTGTGTATAGATTGCTCTTTTTGAAGATGCCAACCAGCGGCGAAGGCGAAGTTATCACTCAATTTATAGGTTTTTCAAGTGCAAATGAGGTGCTGTCAGAATGGGGGCATTACAAATGATTCGAGTGAATTAAAGTCAGGAGAAGTTAGGAAACTTTAAAGGCATCAGTTCAAATCGGTTTCTTTGATACGGTTAATTAAAAACTATAATTGAGTGTCAGTCTACGTTTCGAGCCAATATAAAGTATCCTTAAGCTTTCGTATTAGTTTTATTGATTTCAAGGGGCAAATCAGACATTTATCTTTGACTTCTTCAGCCAAGACGAAAAAGGGTGAAAACCGCACAGGATTACGCAACACAAATCAATTGCACTTGCCAACAAACTCAATGGCTAAATAAATTATGGTCTTCGCTTACCGCTATCGACTCGAAACCCGCCATTAATTAACACCAACCCTTTGGCCAAGGAGCGGAATCGAAATGGCGGCGATTACTTGTGTGTCCAACACCTGTTACCAACAAATAAGGAGCGCAAGGCGAGGGGAATTCCCGCCGTCACAGGTCAACAACCAGTTTATTGCTCACGCATTTCATTTCAGAAATCTTCTGGCGTTCCGAAAGTCATCATTATCATCGAGGACAAGGATGGAAGCGATGGAAACGCTGGAGACGCTGGATCCGAGCAACTAGTGTCAAGAATCGCATAAATTTCCGATTCCGGGACGCTGAGTGTGCCATTTAATGGCCGGCAAAGGTCACGTTCACACCGCCGTAATGGCTAATGGGCAACGAGCGGTCCTGACAATTCAGGTAATGTGGATAATTTGCTGTCAATGATGTGGAACGAAGGGGCCCAGCTCTGCGGTCCTCGGTATTTGTTGTCAAACAACGCAGCACCAGCCCCTCCTCATCCCATAATAGTCCGTGCTGCATTTTACGGCGCCTATAAATAGGCCCCACTGGATGTTAATGCCGCCCGATGAACCGGGGGCTCTTGGGGCAGGCAGCTCCCCATCGGGTTTTGACAAATCACTGCTTGTTGAGCACAGCCACAAATCCGCGCTGATCGATGATTTGTTGTCTTTGATCTCTGGAACACCGAGTGTCGAGTGATTAAATCAAATTTTGACAAGGTGCCGACTGGCACCCAAGCGCGTTTTTCTTTAAGTGTGCCCAAAATCGAAGACCTTACAGTGAAACTTAGTTATTACCTTCCAAGCTGTGTTCTTAAATTATTTTAAACTGAAAAAAATCCATTAACAACTTGAAACACACGTTATAAGATACTGAAATCGACCATCGGGAAATGAAAAAATTTTGAATGCAGTTTCTTCAAGGACGCGATTACCAATATTTAGAGGTATGCCACTTTGAAATCGGACTAAAATTGGCAAAGTTATGGGCTGTGGGCCTCGAGAATTATGTCTCCTATTGGTAAAACATCGGAAAACTTTGAAAAATCTGGCATGAACAGGGGTCAAAATATCGACCATCGGGAAATGGAAAATTTTTAATGTAATTTTTTTATGAACGCAATTGCAAATGTTTAAAGGTATGTCACTTTGGAATCGGACCAAAATAAGCAAAGTTATAGCTTATGGAAGTGTATTTTTGGGTTTCCTTTCGGAGGTTTCACCTTTTAAAACCCCGTTTTGGTTGGGAATAAAACTTGATAATACTTTGATTATAGCTTCCTTTTTATCAGAGTTTGTGGTATCGAAGTTCCACTGCATTTTTGTTCATGTGAGTCTAAAACAAAAACAGGGAATTGATGGCATAAATCAAGCGATGACAACGGGAACAACAACATCGGTAGTCACGCACTAAACAATAACTATGCAATTACAAGCAGCGATTAAGTTGCGGTCGGGAGCGGCAACTAAACAAACAAGATCCGAGGCGTTTTATGGCTTAGTGCGACCGATACGTCAAAAAAAAAAATAGAGAACCCCAAAGAAAACATTGTTTCAGACCGAAGAACATTAGTATTGGGTTCTAGACTAAAGGCAAACCGAGCTGGGCCATAAAAAACAATATTTGTTTCGAATACTATTCCCAGCATAGGTCTAAAAATAAGCAGCGACATCTCTCGAATGTTTGGCCATCGAGAAAATCAGAGGATCACGCGCACTAGGATAACCCATTGTTTTATGACCCATTTTTACCAGCGGTAAGCGATCGTAAAATTTGAATAAATCGGGAGAGAGCGTGAAGAATCCTTTGTGGCATCTTCCACACATGTGAATAACTCAGCTTCAATTGCCTCGGTATTTGGTATTTTCGATTTGCGTTCAATGTTTTTATTTCTTTCAAATGATCTCTGCTTTCTACTTGAGAACGGCACGATCGTAAAAATCGATTGTAGTCCTGTTTGAAATGTATACACATTATTTTACGACCTTTTAAGATATAGACCAAGACTTTGGCTGCTTTGAGAAAATTGCGTACTTGACGGCAGAGTTTACTCTCGCTTTCTTTCGCTCGGAAAAGTCGTAAAAATCGGAAGGGAAATTCTACGAGATAGCAATGTCAAGGGACTGCACGGAGATAAACCTTCTGGCATTATCTTGGGCAGCTGTTATCCGGCGTATTGTTTAAACGAAGTGCTTCGTGGAATCCTACCATTTTGATAGTGTTTACAAACCAATTGAGCAGAGAAGTTATCAAAACTTTTGTTTCGCTTTTAACTGGGGGGTCCTGAAAAAAAAACTTCAAGACCAGAAGTTCATTTTAAGTTAAACAATTAAATAAATTATTGTATAAATAAAAATCTGTTAATAAAACGTATGATTTATTAAATATGATATACTGTTAAGCCCCTTAATTTTCTTACTCTTCAATTAGCTTTTTAATCTCATTCCAATTTTCAATTCAAATGACTGTAATTCATGTGTAAACTTTGCTCAATTTTCATTTGTTGAAAATTCTAATTTACATATTTTTCAAAACACATTGGAAACTCTCACAGACTCACATACACATTCAAAAAAGATCTAGACTCCGCCCATCTTCAAAAATACAGACAAATGAGAACCGAATATCGCTCTGAGCATATGGATACAAATAAACATGGAAAGAGTGGAGAATATATTTTCAAGCAACGCCCCCTTTTTACGAGTCGACACTGTAGATCAGTTATATATCTCGGATAATCGGTAAAATACTAATATAACCAAGGATATTTAATAGGGGATTTTTTCAATGCCAAAAATCTAATTAAAAGTTATATTGACAGAAATGTAAACTTACAATTTTTGAAAGATTATTTACATTCAGGATGTTTTATTTTTTATAAACCCTAAATATAGTTAATTTTTGTTTTAATCTATCCTTAAGGAAATGTGTTTTCTTAAGAATTACTCTCCCCATCTCTCGGAGAACCTAAACACATGTGGATCTTTTGGTGAGGGTGTTTGCATATCTCTGTATTTATAGACCAATACGCTGCTCTCCCCAGAAACACAGGCACATGAGTACTGGATGAGGCATTACAAGTGATCTGCGTATCCGAGTCCATTCATTAGTCGATCGGACTCCTTGGCTGACGCAACGAGTAGTCAAATAGCCGCGCACGTTCCTCCCACAACTTTGGGTAGTATATTTTCGTGAGAAACAGGACAAAGATCCTTTTAAATAAATCCAAAATAAAGTGCACAGTGCGTGTTTTTATCGAATTTGGAAGAAAAAACACAGATATTATCAAATTAATTTAAATTACCGGAATTAAAGCAACCGGAATACTTTCGCGAAATGTTACCGTCTTGCTATGCCAACGGATCGGTTTTGCCGGATAACGAGGAGCTCGTTAGCTCCCTTCTCGCCAATCCGGAATATCTCAGAGCCCAAGTATCCCCCAATCCATTGGCACCAAGTGCCGTCGGAATGGAGGGTCTGATGTGCGGATCGTTTTCACCTGCATTTTACTACCAGGGAATCGACAATTTCCTGGCCCTGCACAACAACATCTGGGGCTTACCCATATCCTTCCTGCACAACTCCCATCGGCCGGAGAAGCCTCCCTTCTCCTACATTGCCCTGATTGCCATGGCTATAAGCAGTGCTCCCAATCAGCGGTTAACTCTCAGTGGAATTTACAAGTTTATAATGGACAAGTAAGCTGGTTATTTAAAAACTTTAAATAATAAATTAAGTTGTAAAAGGATTCCACTACGTATAGTACATTCTCTCCAAGTTTTTTTTTTTAAATTTTTTTTCACATGAATTTGTTCGTTCTTTTAAAAATAAAAATCATGAGAAATTTAGATGACAGTCCTGACTAAATCAAATGCCAAAATAAACAATCGCAACATTCCGAATTTCTATACAAACCGAAGAAGTCTTCATCCCAAGACGCATTTCAAAACAGTTGTCTCAACTTTTGCCAAAAGTGGGATTAAATCAATGAAATATTGAGCGTAAATTTATTTTTTTATGTGGAAAATATATAAATATCACAAGGATTACTTGATCGTTCGTTTGTTTCATAAAAAATGGTTTCATTTTAGGTCTTTAAGTTATGGCCATATTTTTTTGAAATATTAAAAAATGTTTTCTTGCGTATATCTTTGTATGCCCGAATTCTTTTCCTACTTAAGCACATATTTTGTAAAATGGCGGGCAAATATTCAAAATGAAGCGCTAATAACTGAAAATACAAGAACGAGAACCATGACTTCATGTGTTTATAAACTAAAAATTTCCGATTTCTTTATCAACATAAACAAATATTATTTTTATTGATTTTACGGACCGCGTTGCTTAAACAAACCAAATGAAAAATGTAGATATTGGCTAATATGATGTGTATCAACACACAACATTTTTGGTATTGTAAAATAATTACTATTTATATATTGTTTTGAAATATAAATAAAATGTATTGATTTGTTTACAAACACATCTGAATTTTTCTGATTTCTAACTTGTTTAAATAGAATAATATAATATAATAATAATCGTTTGAACATAAAAGGATGTTGTAAGAAGCTAACAAAATACTTATCTTATATTTCTTGTAGATTTCCATATTATAGGGAGAATAAACAGGGCTGGCAAAACTCAATCCGACACAATTTGTCGCTTAACGACTGCTTTGTGAAGGTTCCGCGGGATAAAAACACGATCGAGGATAATGACAGTGCCGGTAAAGGAAGCTACTGGATGCTGGACTCCTCGGCATCGGATATGTTCGAGCAGGGAAACTACCGACGGCGAAGGACCCGAAGACAAAGACACTGCACCAGCTCGAATCGCTTCGAAAGGGAATCAGGAAAGGTAACTATATAAACAAAATAATTTTAAATAACGTATAATAATCTAAATGTACTCCCAGGATTCCGTTGATGGCAACCACAGTGCAGCAGAGATGCGATCGCAAAGCGAACCGCTGAATGATTTTGACATCTTCTGCAACGAAAGACCCAATTATTCGGACAGGATAACGGATCTGCATCGGCAGTATTTATCGGTATCTCTGGGATTCAACAGCCTCTTCAACAACGAAGCGAGGAGCACACGACCATTGCCCAGTTCCTCCCTCTCCGAGATCAGGGAATCAGCTGACGATGTGGATGCGTCTTCGAGTTCCAGCAAAACAGCCCACAATCCTGCGGACAGTGCCTCCCTCCATGAGGACCTACATTCCCCGAGCGCTTTTACTCCTCCTATCAATCGTCGGGAAAATATTTCTTCGTCTGTGCCAATCCTTGGCGATTCCTTTCGAGGACTCCAGGACTTGGTGACCAGTAACACTGCTGAAAACTCATCTGCAGCGACACCAATTCGATCAAAGACTACTCTTTTCACCATCGACAATATAATTGGCAAGCCATAATAAATCCGCTTTTTACCCTAGAATTTTAAGTTACTAATTAATAAATGGCTTTGACCAAACAGTGATTGAAATAAAAGTTAATCCGAAAATAACTCACCTCTGCTTGTTTTATTTTTTAAAATCGAAGTCCCTCATGAGATCAATGTCAAAAATATTGAAAATTCACAATATAACATTATAAAAACGAAAAATGGAATTTTTTAATGACTTTATTGCAGTTAGCGTAGATTTAACTTTGCTTGGGTTTTGTGTACGTGAATATGTACACAGCAGACGAGCATTCCAGGTGCTAAAGGTGCGTATACTTCATATTTAGCACTGAGTTTGATAACTGAATGGAGTGTTTCGCAAGACGGCGCCACAATATAAAATCGATGGTCAGTTGAAATCAATCGTGGAGCGTCAGCCTGGCAAAAAGATTCCGTATGCGGTAATCAGGGGATCAGTAAGCCCCATTTCAACGCTCCCTGACCACAAGATAACCAATGGAATGATATATGAATTGCGTAACCAAGAACATGGCGTAGAGATCGGGAATACCATTGGAGCAGTTGTTTTGAATGTCGACTTGGTTTATGATGACTTCAATCACTCCTCTTCTTCGGTTTTTGATCACGTTTGTGGTTTCTTCTCCGGCGTTCGTCAGAGGAGATTGCAAACCGCGGAGGAGGTTTTAAGGGAAGGATCATTCCTCACTGCTTTTGGGGAACTAAAACTGGATGGAGATACCTTGCGTTTGCAGTCTTCGCAAAAAGGACCTCTACTCATTACCACAGCCAGCAAACGGACTTTGTTTAAGCGTTTAGAAAACGTCAATAAAGGCAATTTGTGGGTTTTATAAATGTTCTAAACTATTTTCTTTAATTAGGAATTCTTTTCAGACTAAAACTGCTAGTTTGCAGCGCTATTTCCATTGTCCTGATTGCTTTTATTCTCAGAAAAATTCATCGGCGGAGGAAAGTTCAAATAGAGGAGGTCATAATACACAATCGCCTTGAGTTGGAACGCAGACAGAACCGTTCTTTAAATCTTTCCCAGGATATGTTATGTGTGGTGTGCTGCGCCAATCGCAAAGAGGTGATAAGAATGATGAGATTCCTTTTACCAATAATACCCATATCCTTACTCTAGATCATTATACTTCCGTGTGGCCATGTGTGTCTTTGCGAAGAGTGTTCTCAGAAAATAACAGTTTCTTGTCCCGTGTGTCGTGGAACCATAACCTCTAAAGCAGCTGCCTTTATCGTCTAGAAATCGAATTACTATTGTCCTTATAGTAGGACCTATTAGTGTTTATCTGTTGATCGAATTACAAAATTTTATAAAGTAACTTCTCTCTCCATATTTCTTTAAAGCTTATTGTTTTTATTTTTTACAATTCTAAGGTATGGCAGGAAAACTTGGTAGAATATGAAAAGCATCAGGTGTTTTTAATAAAAAAGGGTTGAAATTCTTTATACTTAAGAACCATATAGTTTTATGTTGGGCTACATTCTTCATTAATAATGTTGAATATTTAATGAACTAGTTCCCCAAATAACGGTGCTCAATTTCGGGGAACCACAGTGTTGAAAACGCGTTAGGAATAGCATAAGAGGGCAAACGAAAACACAGCAACACTGAACGAAAAAACATATGTTCCCTAGATAAAAACAACAATAACAAACCAAAACATGGAATTCTTACACGAATCAATAGCACTCGGCGTTGATTTGATAATACTGGGGTTGTGTGCGCGCGAATATGTGCACTATAAACGTACTGCCCAAGTGCTCAAGGTGCGTATACTCTATATTGTTTCGCGTTTCACTTATTTAACTGGTTATTTGCAGACGGCACCGCAATACAACATAGACGATCAGCTGAAATCGGTGGTGGAGAAGCAACCCGACAAGAAGCTACCCTATGCAGTGATCCGAGGAACAGTTACCCCCATCGGGGTTCCCCTGAGGAGCTCCCTGGTGCCCAGTGTAAGCGGAGTCCTGCAGATCGTGAAGCTGCACGAGCACAGGATCACCCGGGGATTCGCTGGCTTCTGGACGGAGCACCACAAGCTGCTGCACGAGTCCGCCAACGAGATGCCCTTTGAGTTGCGTAACCAGCAGCACGGCGTGGAGATCGTGGACGCCTTGAGTGCGGCGATCTTGGATGTGGACATGGTCTACGACAACTACGAGCCCTCGACTCTCTCCCTCTTCGACCACGTTTTCGGATTCTTCTCGGGCGTCCGCCAGCGGGGGCTGCAGACGACGGAGGAGGTTCTCCGGGAGGGAAGCTTCCTCACGGCCATCGGTGAACTGGAACTGGACGGAAGCTCACTGCGAATGCAGCCCTCGCGGGAGGGACCACTCTTCCTGACCACTGCCACCAAGTCCACGCTTATCAAGCGATTCGAAGACGCCAAGGCAGCATCGATGTGAGTACAGTATTCCTGAAGCACAACATTTCTAAACGAGAATCCCTTGCAGACTCAAGCTGGTGGTCTGCGGCGCCATTTCCGTCGTCCTAATCGGCTTTATTGCTAAGAAGATCTATAGGCGGAAAAAACAGGAGCGGGAGGAGGCCAAAATACGCAGTCGTCTGGAAACGGAGCGCCGGGAACGACGCGCGAGGAATCGTCCTCACACTTTGTCCCAGGATCAGCTCTGCGTTGTGTGCTCAACCAATCCCAAAGAGGTAATTTGTGGTTATTCAACGCTGTTTTCATTCATGGAAAAATTTTTACAATTATTTGCCGTGCTCTCCCTTTAAACAACATTTTAAATTGTGTTCTGAATCTTCAGCACACTTTCCAGAAATTATTTACAATCGAAAAATTTATAATTAACTTAAACTTCTGATATTCCTTTTTCTAAAATTTCATAAGCTGTAAAATTTCTGGCTAGTTTCGATAGTATTTATAAAGTTTATGAGAACGTATTTACAGATAAGGCTTTTTAAGGTATTTTTACTGCTCAAGATAAAACCACAAAAATTTCCACATAGTTTTTGAGAATTTTTATTGATCAGAATATGACAAATAAACAGAAAAGCAATCGTTTAGGATTTTCTAACGTATATAAATTTGTTTTAGATCATCCTACTGCCGTGCGGTCATGTCTGCCTCTGCGAGGACTGTGCCCAGAAGATCTCCGTCACCTGCCCCGTGTGTCGTGGGAACATCGCCTCCAAGGCAGCCGCCTTCATCGCCTGAAAATCAACCGAATGCCAACCACATCACAAAGTACCTGTGTGCGGGTCAACCCAATATTTTGTTACAATGCTCAAGTGCGGCATTTATTTTAAAATTATTTAAAGTCTTGACAACGAAAAGCTACTACTATTTAGTGTCTCCCTGCATAATGGTCCTGTATTGGCGCTGGTTCTCCAGCAGTTGCAGAAACACCTTGTACTTGCGATTGTGGAACTCCAGGGTCTCCTGGTTTGGCTTCACCAGCTGACCAGTGCCTCCCATGGCTTTCGAGGCGCTCTGAAAGCACAAATAGTAGGTTGAAAGCAGTTTGACATTGATTAGGTTTGCTAGGCTCACCTCCAAGCTATCAAAATGTCCCGAGGCTGCGGCTCCCAAGGCAGCGGCTCCCACGAGAACCATTTCCTGTTCGTCGGGGATTAAGCCGGGCAGATTGCAGATATCCGCGTGGCATTGCACGTACAGAGGATTCTTGGCCAGTCCGCCGCAGAAAAGGAGCGTTTGGAAGGGGGCCCTGCCGTACTGATAGAGGTTCTCTATAATGTGACGAGTGCCGTACTGCAAAGGGAACACACTACTTGTTATCATACCCAATCAAACATACTGTGCAACTTACAGCCAGCGCCTGAACGAAGGCCAAGTACTTAAGGGCCAGAGATTCGGTTCCTCGGGTCATGTCCAATCCAGTGATCTTGGGGATGCACTTTCTGGGTTAGGATATGATTAAAAACTTGGTATAGCACTGCTTACCACTCCTCGCAGCGTGGGATCGGCGACGGGCGAGCGATTGCCGTGCAAGTCCGGCCAGACGTGGATGTCCTGGGTTAGACAGCTCACTTGGCTGAGTCCTCGGGCTGCCGCCAGCTGCGGCAGCAACTGGTTGAGGTACTGGTAGATGAACCTGTCCTCCCCCAGCTTCTCCTTCAGCTCAGCGTAGGATTCGTGGGACTTGAGGACGTGGTCCAGCAGGTGGCCCGCGATGCTCTGGCCACCCTCGTTCAGGAAGTACCCCGGTATGATGGCATCCTGATAGGGACCCCAAACTCCCTGGGCGAAGCAGGCCCGTCTGGTGATGCTCATATGGCAGGTGGATGTGCCAGCAATCAAGGCCATTTTGCCCTGGACATCGTCCGCTCCTCGAGCGTCCTTCGAGCGGCAGCCAAACATTCCCAAGGCGCCGGCATGGGCATCGATCAGTGAGGTGCTCACCACAGTGTTCGCGGAAAGGCCCAGTTCTTGGGCAGCCTTAGCCGTGAGACCCTTGCCCACTTTTCTGCCCGGAGGCTGGACATCACTGCCCAGCTTCTCGAAGTTATTCCGGGTCAGCTCCTCCAAGTCCGCCTGTTCGAGGAACTCCTTGTTCCAGCTTCCCTCTGCCGCGTCGTAGTTCCACTTGCAGACCACGGAGCAGAGCGATCGGGTGTCCACGCCGGTGGCTCGCCAGGTGAGAAAGTCGGGCAGATCGAAAACCCTCCAAATGCTGCCGAAGGTTTTCGAGAGATTCCGCTTCAGCCACAAGAGCTTCGGAACCTCCATCTCCAGCGAAACCTGCCCGCCCACGTACTTCAAAAGCGGATTCTTGAACGCATTTATCTCCTGCGTTTCCTGCTCGGCTCGGTGATCCATCCAAAGGATGACGTTCTGCTCCGACTCACCCGTCTTGCTCACACTCAAAGGCGATCCTTGGGGGCCCAGAACCACCAGGGAGCAAGTGGCGTCGAAGCCAATGCCCTTGACTTCTGACTTATCGACGCCGCCAATGACTTTCTGTAAAATCAGCCACTGGGTTAATCTAATCTCCGCGAGAAACGTCGCCGAACGGCAGAGGTTATCGCACAGAAAAAAATTTAAGATCAGGTCTGAGGTCTTTAACTTTCCAAATTGGCACATCTGATAACTAAGACTAATGCCTTAGATAAACCAAAAAAGGTATTATACTTTATTAAATAATTAAAACAAGATAAGAGATTCATAATGTAAATTTTAATTGATGGAATATAACAAAAACAATTTCTACAACAAATCTTTATAATATATATTTTTGGTTATTTAATCACACAAATTTGTTTATTATTATTCCACTTATTTTTCTCATTATTAATTTGTTTTTAAACTGTTGTCTTGATTGATTTAATTTTTAATAGATTAACCGAAACTGACCATAAAATGTTTCTTTGTGCTGCGGAGACTTACCTTGACCACCTGGCAGATGGACTGCCATATATTATCGGAGGACTGGTTGTAGTAGCCCGGCTCTGGGTTCCAGGTCCTGATGGTCTGCACCGCCTGCTCCAGGACACGCCCCTCTGCGTTCACCAGGGCCGCCCTCGCACTGCCCGTGCCCACGTCCACGCCCACAAAGTACGGTCCGGATGCCATTTCCACGTCGCCGCCTCCGTCACAGACGCCTCTGATCACCTTGGCGGTCAAATAAATGTTATTGACTCGCTGCAAAACGCCAAACCCAAAACCGTGCGAAGTCGTCGAGCGTCGGACGCGAACTGATAAGCAACCTGATATACGAGCGGCCAGCAAACCCAGAAATCGTGTAAATTGACACAAGCAACAGTTTGTAAAGATCTCGCTTGATTGCTTATGAGTTCTTTAGGGCTTGAGTGCTTGTAAACATAGAAAGGCTATTTATCTAGTGGTTTAGATTTAGTCAAAGTAGCCGAAACTAAATGCCGGGCTATAAACATTTTTGAGGCCTTGTTAGATTTACACTAATTGTTTCATTCAAACTTTTCTACATTTATTATTTTATTTTTTAATTACGTAGTAGCATGTCTAGAATTTTAAGGTGAAAAATAATTCAAACCCTATTCCTAATTAATTTATAATACATAATGATAATAGACAAAGAAAAATTAATTACCATGAATTTGGATATATGGTAGACAGTATGCTGTTTTATATTGCATCTTATTAAGCTGGACAACATTAAATTTTCTCTAAATTTTGAATTGAAAGAATATGCACACCTGGTTTAAAAGCAAACTAGAAATACAAGCGGAAGCACACCTTATTGTTTCTGAATAGCAATTATTTGAGCTATATTTTGCTTTAATGGAGCTCATGCGCAGGTTGTTTATCAGCACAAAAATACACAAACCGTTTTGCTTTTATTTTCTCCGTCACTTCTCGCAGAACCAGTCGCGTCGAGTTGCTCTCAGCCACTAAAGCAAAGCCCTGGAAGTGCCTTAAATCAAGTTCCGTTTCAATTCAGTATTCAAACTTAACAGCAGCTGTTATCTGTTCCCAAAATACAAAACATGTTTCGAGAATCATATCCGATGGAACTACAAAAAAAACTTTATCCATCTAAGTTTATCTTAAAGGTGTTATTACCCCTGATAAAAAAGTATGCAGTTTTAAAAATGTATTGATAAAGTAGATTTATAGATAAACGAGAGTATTATCTAGCCTTCCCCTTCACCACTTCACTCGCAATATCAATCAATATTCAATCAACACCGCAGATAAGCAATCAACACCGCAGATAGTGCTTTATGTTTTTAAATAAATATTATTTATTGCATTGCCGAAAAAATCCTATAGTAAGTAGTGGTTTGCTGTGTTTCTGTTAATTTATATTATTCATTAACAATTTGTCAGAATATCAAAACGTTCAGCCTAAAAGCATGCACTTATTAAGTGTTTATTTTTTTTAAATTTACACACCAGAGTGAGCTAAAACATATTTTTTAACATTATTAGACGAGCAAGTGAAAGAGATTTTTCAAAAGCAAGAGACGGAACACCAAAAATAGCTGACATAAGGTAACTGAAAACTTAATCATTTAAAATTCTCTGTAATGAATTAACGGAAGATGGTATTTGAATCGATTTTTGATTACTTATCGATTTATTATTACTTAAATATGTCTGGCAGCTTAGCTGAGATGTTATCAAAATAGTTAGTCTGGCAACACAGCGGCGATGTTATCAAAATAGTAAACAAATCAAGAGATTGTAAACATTTAATGGATCCCACTCTGTTGGAACTGACCAAGCTACTTCCCCGGCTTGTAGATATCGAAAATGTGATCCAGGATGAAGTCGAGTCGCGCTATATTCTTAAAAGAGCCATAGATCACGTAGAGAACCTGCAGTCCAGGAGAGATTCCTCGGAAGAGGAAACAAGGTACCTTTTGTGTGCGCTGGTGGACAGGAATAGGGAGCGCATACACACAGGTCACTTTAGCAGTGTTCCGTTGAGCACAAGAAAGACATATGCGATTGGTTGTTATTTCAAGGTACGAATTAAGTAACACATATATTCGTAACTAAAAACCATGTTTCCTACACAGATTTTCTTTCTACTCCTCGAGAGCACGAGTTATTCTCAAAAAGAGCTCTGCAGTGAGATCCTGGATGAGGCCCAACTTCTGGGCTGCATGGACGACTGGAGTGAACTGAAAACTGCCTTAATGGATTACCTTGATAAGGGAAAAGAAGAGGATTCCGAAGCACTGCCCGTTCTGGAGCCTTTAGTACGAGTATCCTGCGCCTGTGATATACCCCAACTGGAAGCACCAAGCTTAAAGGAATTCCAAACGAAGTGCTTTCAAGCCAACCAACCCACACTCCTGCTCAATACCTTCCAGCATTGGCCCGCTGTACATAAGTGGTTGGATCTCAATTACCTTCTTCAAGTGGCCGGAAATCGCACTGTTCCCATAGAAATAGGGTCCAATTATGCCAGCGATGAGTGGTCACAGCAGCTGGTAAAAATCCGCGACTTCCTAAGAAGGCAATTCGGAAGGAATAAGGAGAAAGCCAGCCCGGAGATTGAATACCTTGCCCAGCACGAACTCTTCTCTCAGATACCTGCTTTAAAGAAAGATATATCAGTTCCGGACTACTGCTCCATTAGCGAAGAAGATCCGCCGGGATCTGTGGACATAAAAGCTTGGCTCGGACCAGCGGGAACCATTTCGCCAATGCACTACGATCCAAAACACAACCTATTATGTCAGGTTTTCGGTTCCAAAAGTGTTATATTAGCTGCCCCTGCAGATTCAGCAAACCTTTATCCCCACGAAAGCGAGTTTCTGTGCAATACTTCGCAAATAGATGCCGACCAACTGGATCTAGAAACCTATCCCCTACTCGAAAAGGTCAAGTTCTATAGATTACTCCTCCAACCAGGTGAGTGTTTGTATATGCCCCCCAAATGGTGGCACTATGTAAGATCAGAAGCGCCCAGCTTTTCTGTTAGCTTTTGGTGGGAATAATACCCTAAATATATTTATTTTGGAATACTAATAACAACGAGACTTCTTATTGACCATTGCTTCAGAACTTCTAGCCAAAAAAATCTAAACATAGTGAAATGGTTGCAATACTATATGCTCATCTTTCCCCGGAAATACGTGCAGTAATATTTTATATTAATCTATTGGCGAAAATAACAAAACCTTACTTTCGATCTTTAAGCGACCATTGACCGCCAGCTGGATAAACCTGTTAAATGACGTCATTCGACCAAACAATATATAGCTGATACTAATCAGACATGATGTGGACTATCAGTAGAAAGATGAGTCATTCGAGCGAACAAAACTGGAGGAGTACTTTATGGTTGTTCTTTTAATAGCCACGACGCATTTCGAGTGTGTTACTGTGGCAAACAAAACTTAACACATATGAATTAAATACAAAAATTTCAGGCAAAAGGAACGAAAGGGGTAAGCCACTATCAATAACCATATTCGTTATCAATGGGTAAAGTTGTGTGTATGAGGATTAACATTAAGATGTGTGTGCTTTTTATCGATTTCAAATCGTATATAATCTTTTTTAAATGTGCCTGCTTTCGCTGCCCCACCGCCATGATTTTAAGTCTTATCGGTATTTAAATTTTGGACTCTGTTCCACTGAGCTTAATCATCCTTGTTTCCGGCGCCACCGATGGTGATCTGCTTCTGCAGCTTGCTATATTCCTCGGTGAGTCGGTCGTACTCGCGATTCAGGCTCTCGGCCTGGGACTTGACCGCCTCCTTGTCCTTCTTCTCGCGGTTCAGGTCACTGGTGAGCTCCTGGACGCGCTCGCGCAGCTTGTTGAGCTGCAAAAACGATTTCGGATTGAGTTTCGATTGGGTTTTCGTTCGATTCGGGAGTGTGGGAATGCTAATGAGGTGTGGGCTTTGGGTGGGATACTTAGGACACTCGGGCGGTGAGTCCCTGCACACGTCTCCGCAGTCTTGACAGCTGTTTAAAGAGTTAACAAGATAGTTTAACTTTCGAGTAGTGGCTATTGTCTTTGAAGGCCCAACTTTTGTGTTTGGGTGTGGTTTCAAAACGTTCAGCTGCGGTCAAAATAATAGCAGTAATCCTATGATAAATTCCGTTTGAAAGCTTTTGCTTCTCAATTTTAAGAGAGAGCAAATCTTTCTGTGAATATTCACATAGAAGTGCACTCATATCATGAGCTACTAAATATTGTTTGCCTATATTTTGACCACACCTTTTATATATGCATTGCCATATCTTTACAGCTGGTAGTAGCCGATAGAACTCCAAAGTCTTATGTGTTAGCTCTCTAGACATGCCATTCCTGGGGATCGGATGCAGGTGTACAATAGACAGTCTACTCACCTCAATCAGAGTGGTGTCCTCGCCGGCCTCCTTGGCCTTCTCGGTCTTCTTGTCCTCCATCAAGGACCTTGCGGCTGCCGTGGCGCTTTGGGCCTGCTTCATCGAGGCCTCGCTCTGGGCCAAGAGATTCGCCTGGGCCGAAACCAGGGTCACCAGACGACGGATGACCAGAACCAGGAAAATGGCGAAGCCGGAGATGTAGAAGTTCCTTTGGGCCCGGAACAAGCGCATGCTGTGCTGCATCTCCACGTTCAAGTGGACCTCGCCAGTTTGCTCGTAATTGGAGTATTTCCTCATTTCGCGAATGGCCTCCAGCAGGAACAACACCAAGACTCCCATAATTAAGAAGAAATATATGTGTGCCTGCTGGGCCAACATGGCCAGGAACTTGGATTTGAAGAGGCGGTTCCATCTATAGGGACTCGCCACCGGGAGGACCAACAAGAGGACCAATGCGATCTCTGCGTAGAGAAATCCAGCGATCAAAGTCCACACCAAACTCATTTTTAATGTTTAATTAATATTCCCAATTCGATTTTCGCTTGTTCGATTAGCACTTGTTCGTCTGCTGTCTGCAAGGAAAAGTGTTCCCAAATTAGCTGGTAATTCCACAGATTCCGCGGGTGTCTATTTATAACTACGGCCGGAGAGCTGCCGCTTACTTTAAATAGCAAAATTTAAGTCGCTGCTGTGATGAAATATGCGAATTTTATGTGGTCACCGCGGCCACGTCAACTCTGTTTTTTTTGTATACAAATGAGACTGCCAACCCGCGCTGCATAACTTACTGTGATAAAATAGCCAGATAAATAGCTAGATGAATAATATTTACATGATAAACAATATATTTTAAATTTCTTTTTGTTCCCCTTAAGCTTAAAAAATATTACCTTTTTTTATTTTTGACAAAAATAGGTTAAACATTAAACTAATAATTCCTCAGAATGGGAAATACCGTCCTCCGCCAAAAAATTTAACATTAATATTAAGAATTCTCGCTCGCACTGGCAGCCCTGCTCATTTGTAAACAAACTGACAGCTGGGTTGCCAGGCCAACGACGAAATGTGCTTCTCCACAACTTTTCAACTTTGCGCCATCGATCAAATTTTCTCCCTCCGTCAGTTGTTTTTTCGATTCCATACAAATATAGCTAGTTACCCGTAGTCCTCCGAGATGTCTTACCAAACCTGGCTTAACTATCTGCAATCCGCGGAGAAAAACTCGATGATTAGTGGTCGGGCTCGCAAGGTGCTCTACAAATTCCCGGACGGAAGACAAATGGCTGAGGAATACAACATGGAAACGGGAATTGTTCAACGCCGGGCCTGGAAATCAAAGAGCAACAAGATGATGGGTGAATCGGAGTGGGAAATCGAACTGGGCGAGGAGCCCCGTCAACTGAATTGGTCGGGAAACAAGCCACAAGGAACTGGCGAAGATACGGACTCGTTAGCTGGCGGGGATTTCACTCTGCGAGAAAGCAACACCGCTCCACTGCTAACCAAACGGATCACCAAAAAGAACATCGAGTGGCGCATCCGTAATATGCCCTATAGTCTGGATGTCTATAACGTAACGGCCGATCCCGAAAAGCGGGCCATTATCGTGCGCACCTCCAACAAAAAGTACTACAAAGTCATCCAGGTTCCCGATTTGGATCGCTGTGGAGTCAAGCCTCAACAGGAAAACATTTCGGTGCACCACCAGTTCAACACCTTGATAATCACCTATCAAAAACCAGCAATACTATGTGAAATGGAGGCGCAGGTTCTGCTTCTGCTTAAAAATGTCGAAACTGAAACGGATATGGACGACCTGCTAAAGGGTTTGATGGCCAAATAAAAGACTTAGATTGTACTAACTACAAAACAATTATATGTATTATTATTTACGAGGCGGGTGTGGGCTACATCTTTGTCAATACCGGTATAAGATAAGGGGTTTGAGTAAGATGTCATTCGTCAGATGAAATAGTAGATGTAGATTAAAAAAACCTTTGCAGAGGCGTTTTAAAACTAAAAGGCCACAATATTCAAAAGAGATCTCACGAGCTAAATAAAAACTAGAGGAAAAATGCCTAATCACAACTTATTTTACTTCTGGAAACTTTCGGCCATGCCGGCATAACTGGCCAGCGAGGGGGCCGAAGAAGAGCTGGTGAACAAAGTATAATCGAAGGAGGGTAATTCCAAAGGAGCCAAAGAGGGCAGGTCCAGGTCCTCACTTCCTGTCAGTCGATGATCGTAGGGATCCCGCTCATCTTCATCCTTTGCAGCATCGGTCTTTTTTAACGTATCTATTTGGGGCTCCGAATGGGTCAATATGTTGGGAGCCTTAGTCGCCAACGAAGAAGTGAACTTAGCATCGAAGTCCTGCACTGTTTTGTCAATTGCCTTGGCCACTGATTGTGCGGATCCTCCGGTTCCACTTCCTCCAGTTTCCGGCCGTAATGGCAACATGGGACTAGTTTCCTTCAAAGGAGCAAAGTCTTTTAACTTATTTAAACCATACTGAGTTTTCCGCATCTCAATTTGGCTCAGTTTCCGTTGAAAGTCCAAAGTTAAGGTGTCCAGAACTTCCTTGGATTTCGGCAAGGCCACTCGCTTTTGCGCATCCTGCATATAAATTAGTGAAGTTTCCAGGGCTTTGATGGCCTCTTCATAGCGATGATTACGTATAAAGCGCTCAGACCTTCGCTCGTGGAAATGGGCCTTTATTTAACAAAAATATATTTTAAACTCGTTAAACGCAAAATTTCTCAGAGTTCTTACCAAATTCAAAGGTGCGCAGTCCATGTTTCGAGCTGTTTTGGCCCTGAGTTTTTAGTTCTCCTGTTTGATGAGGTGTTTTTTAAAAATTGTATTCAATACAATTTTATTAAAATTGAGTCTAAATGTGTTGTCTTAGTCTTTTAAACAACTAAGACGTTTGTTATTTTACTTAAGTCGCAATTTCTCCAAATTTCACTTTTGTTTACATATGTTTTCAGTCCGAGGTACGGCAACTCTACGGCTATCGAATTTTCGATGAATAAGATTTATCGGAATAAAATATCAAATTTAAATTAAAAAAGTGTATATTTAAAATTTATTTTGATCGAATCAACAATAATCATTATAGATAGTTAACAATTTCTTCATTTAAAGTGGTCTCCCTGTGGCCTGTTTACCTTCAGTGAGTGCAACAGAAGCATGGACAAACACAGGCACATTAATACCCTGTAAAAATACATAATATAAATAAAAAATAAACTAACTAAGCTATATATATTGTTTACTAATACACACCTGCATCTTGGCTGACCTAACAAAAGCCTTATTCGAAGTCACTGTGAAAATTTGTCTGGCCAAGCCAAAGCTAAAGATTTTCAGACTTCTCTCGTTCACATTGGCAGTAAAACGTATGTGGGAAAATTCCTCCGGTATGGTTTCCACATTCGGGTAAACGGTGACCCTTTTCATCAGCTCCTCGGCCCGTTTTCTTTCGCCCTCGCCCCCCACAATATCCAGAATACTTTGGAAGGCGTCGTAGGCTAGCTGGCAGCAGACTAATGTTTTTCCTTCTAGAATTTTCTCTAGCAGAGGTTTAAGCGGGGAGGCCCTTTCTCTTTCCGCCTGTTCGGTGAGTAGCGGTTCCTTGTAGACCCAATTCGCAGACCCATTGGTCAGGGCGCTCACATAGGCCAGAAGAGTAGTCACATCCAGATTCAATTCATTTGAGGTGGTGGCATATTGATCCAAATCGCTATCGGGTGAGTCGAGCGATGCTGTTTGTACGCCCATCTCCAGAAGTTCTTCATGCAGTGAGTCCTCGATTTTGTTGGAGAAATAAAAAACAATCTGAAAAGGGATAAAATCATATTTAAAATAAGAAGGTTACCCAGGAGGTTCTTACGCACCTTAGGCCTCTGGAACATGCAGAAACTTAGCTCACTGGCCTCTAAATAATCCTCAGCCTGATCCAAAACACTTCGGGCTCCAGGACTCACACATCCCTTGGCCGCGTCCTCCACGGATTTGGAGTTTCTCGCTATCACCTTCACCCATTTGAGCCCATTATTGGCCACGATATCCACTCTCAGGGGACTATCTCTCGATTCCAGGCGGAACACGGCATTGATATCCACCACACCTTGTTGCAAGCGCAGAGTTTTTATCAGGAAGTCATAGTACACAAAATTGCTGCTGGTTATATGATGTTCTTTCACCGATTTTGTTGTAATCACCTTAGAGAAAATCGTTATTCAGGGAAAGTGTTCAGATCATAAGAGAAAGACAAACCTTATTTAGAAACTTAAGTTCCTGTTGGATTTTTCGTTGAACTTTGCTGACCCCGGGAAGATCCTCAAATTCGACTAACGCCTTTTTCAGTTCCTCTCCCAACTTTACTTTCTTGTGGGCTTCCACGTAAAGTTTCTCTTGATCAGCTTTATCTTCCATTTTTAAAATTGAGTAATATTAACAAAAATCTCGAAATTGTTTCCAACCGTCAGCTGTTTCTGGTTGGTAAACAAAAATGGCAGATAAGCTTTTGGTTTTACAACACTAGAAACTCTATTTAGAGTTTGACTTATGTGGTCATACTATTTCACTAGAGATGTGAAACTATCTGAGAAAACATTCGGTATTTTTGCTCACGCCACGAAACTATCGTGAACATTTATACGAAATTATATATGGATGTCCTCTTTTTAAATTCTTTATCGGTTATAAACAGTCGCCAGAAATATGTTATAGGGCGCAATCGGACCTAATGCCACATAAACAAATAGAAGTTCCTTGACAAAAATCTCACCACGGGCTATCCGAGGCTCCAACCGAGGTGGTTTTAGGAAAAGTTGGCAAATTTAGGGCTTACTCGATTTTGGTATTTTTGTATGAGGGGCTAACTACGTTCTGGTAACACCGATTCCTTCTTTTGATTTTCTTTCGGCGAATTGAACGGATGTGAAAATGGAGCTCTCTAATTAACAATAAACCGAAATCCAAAAGCATCGCTGCCGAAATGTACCAAGTCTCCCGTTAAACCGGCAGAAGGTAAGCAAATCCACCCGGTGCACTTAATATTTCCAGTGTTTAGTTTATGCACGAAGTATCTCCAGAAATCAGAAATGTCTGTGCTTTGGTCGCATTTGAAGCGTGCTAAATTAACAACTAAATGCTGCTTACTAGCATCGTTAGGCGACACGACTTCCCATACTGTGGCCATGGTTTTCAAAGCGGTACAATAATTCTATCAAAATGGGCGATTTGGGTGACATCTTGTCGGCGACTGTACCTAACCTCAACTGTACTTCTATTGCAGTTTTGGGCAAAAGCGAAGAAAACCTTACTGCTGCAGAATGTATTTGTACAACTTGACCCTGCAAAAGGGCACAGGCGTGACCCACGCGGTGCACGGCAACTTCTCTGGCGGAAAGCAGCAGGAGGTCCTGCTGTCACGTGGCAAGTCCCTCGAGCTGCTCCGTCCGGATTCGAACACCGGAAAGGTCCACACGCTCCTTTCCACAGAGATCTTCGGATGTATTCGTGCTCTGATGGCCTTCCGACTGACCGGCGGAACTAAAGGTGAGCATTTGTGTAAAATCATTCCTATATCAGGAAAAACTTCAGTTTAAAGTAAATAGTAAATCTAAAAATAGTTTTTATTAGGAGGACTGAATAATTTCCCAAGATTAAGTATTATCTTGAACATGGCTGACACCATAATCGTGATAACCTAATTTGGGCTACATGGGCTCGTCAAGTGACTTGATGAAGATATTATGAACCCCCTACTTCTATTTAGTTTTTTTTTTTTTTTTCAAATTGTCATTGAAAACCACGTGGTAACACAGTAGCTGAGAAGAAGAAAAAAGGCACGTGGGGTATTAGAAGAATTTCTCCAACTCTATACACTATTAGATTCACTATAAAATCATTGTTCATTGTACTATTGTCTACATCTGAAGTTTCTCCTGAAAATATCTTATATTAAATAATAACCACGCCAGGCCGCACAAATCCCTATTGAGGCAACACTTGATTAGTTGACCCCAGTAAGACCTTATAAACGCGTCTAAGTGCGAGAAAAACCGAAAGACTTGACGTCGCATTTGCCATAAACCAACTCAACGGAATGGCGAATTGAAACTTCGAGTTACAAGATCAACAACTATTTCAAATATTAGTAATTATTAAAAGAAGGTGACCAATCTAAACAAAGTTTTCCTTAATTTTCAGATTACATTGTGGTTGGTTCCGATTCGGGTCGCATTGTGATCCTCGAGTACAATGCCACCAAAAATGCACTGGAAAAGGTTCACCAGGAGACCTTTGGCAAGTCGGGATGCCGGCGGATCGTGCCCGGTCAGTACTTTGCCATCGATCCCAAAGGCCGAGCAGTGATGATTGGCGCCGTGGAGAAGCAGAAGTTGGCCTACATCATGAACCGGGACACCCAGGCCCGTCTGACGATCTCATCGCCTCTGGAGGCGCACAAGTCGAACACCCTCACATATCACATGGTGGGCGTGGACGTGGGCTTCGACAATCCCATGTTTGCCTGCCTGGAGATCGACTACGAGGAGGCCGACATGGACCCATCAGGTAGGCATCTGCGCAATACCTAGTATAACCCCGAGAAGGCGCTTTAATTCACAGGTTTAGTGGATTCAACCACGAACACTGTCTGTACTTAGTGCCAGATGAATTGTGATCACTGAACCATTGGTGTTGCTGTAATTGCCTAGCTACACTTCACTGATTTGTGACCTACACTCCAAAATCTTTAAAAAGCTTTTTTGTTATCAATCGAAGGGGTTTCAAATACCTTTTTAACTTTGGTTCAAGATCTGACTAAACCTTTCAAATAACTGCATTAAGAATTCCGCTCTCTGTTATACCATAAACCATAACCAATATCCCATTTGTATATTCCAGGTGACGCTGCCCAGCGCACTCAGCAAACGCTGACCTTCTACGAATTGGATCTGGGCTTGAACCACGTGGTTCGCAAGTACTCAGAACCCCTGGAAGAGCACGCCAACTTTTTGGTTTCGGTGCCTGGCGGCAACGATGGTCCCTCGGGCGTGCTCATCTGCTCGGAGAACTACCTGACCTACAAGAATCTCGGCGATCAGCACGACATCCGTTGTCCCATTCCGCGCAGGAGGAACGATCTGGATGATCCCGAGCGGGGCATGATTTTCATCTGCTCGGCCACCCATCGCACCAAGAGCATGTACTTCTTCCTGCTGCAAACGGAGCAGGGAGACATCTTCAAGATCACTCTGGAAACGGACGACGATGTGGTGTCCGAGATCAAGCTGAAGTACTTTGACACGGTGCCTCCGGCCACGGCCATGTGTGTGCTCAAGACGGGCTTCCTTTTCGTGGCCAGTGAGTTTGGCAACCAGTAAGTGTACCCTAAGTTAATTCCCCTTTTCATATTTTGTTTTTCCTGATTCATAGAATCGTTTTTAATTTGTACTCCTCTTAAACTTGCAGCTACCTTTACCAAATTGCTCATCTGGGTGACGATGATGACGAGCCGGAGTTCAGTTCGGCCATGCCCTTGGAGGAGGGCGAAACCTTCTTCTTTGCGCCTCGAGCCCTGAAGAATCTGGTTCTGGTGGACGAACTGCCCTCGTTTGCCCCGATCATCACCTCCCAGGTGGCCGATCTGGCCAACGAGGACACCCCTCAGCTGTACGTGCTGTGCGGTCGAGGACCTCGCTCCACACTGCGAGTCCTCCGTCACGGCTTGGAGGTTTCCGAGATGGCCGTCTCCGAGCTGCCCGGTAACCCAAACGCAGTTTGGACTGTGAAAAAACGAGCTGATGGTGAGTGAAATGCTTCTCCTAATTCACAATCCTTAAGCTAAGACTAGACTAAGATTGAAACGTGGCTAATAACTCAACTGGTGCATTGATACAGATCGAGATATAGATTACACCTAGCTTTACACACGATTCCCAACAAGTCCCACAAGTTATCAACCACCAGTTCTCTCTTATTTCAGGCGCTTAAACACAGACGTCAATGTGTGAACTATCGAAAAAGACAAGCGATTATAGAGAATTTTCTCTCGTTTGTGTAAAATTTAAATTGTCTTTTGTGAAGCGATAGGTAAGGCAACATTTACTGCAGCTCATAAGTCAAACAGATACTACTACCACCACTACTACCTGAAAAACAGAAAATACAGAACTATGTTTAAGCCAGAAGGACATTGAACATGATGCGATATTTATCAACCGTGTTTCAGCTGAATTATCCATTGATTACAACTTGATAAACTGATTATTCAATGTCCCATGTGATAGGCAAAACTTATTATTCGATGTTTACATTAGCTTCATACTCACCACCAAAGTATTGTTTTGTTCCCCTACTTTTAGACGAGTTCGATGCCTATATCATTGTGTCCTTCGTGAACGCCACCCTAGTGTTGAGCATTGGCGAAACCGTCGAGGAAGTGACGGACAGCGGCTTCCTGGGCACCACGCCCACCCTTTGCTGCGCCGCCTTGGGCGACGATGCCCTGGTTCAGGTTTACCCCGATGGCATCCGGCACATCCGGTCCGACAAGCGCGTGAACGAGTGGAAGGCCCCCGGCAAGAAGTCGATCACCAAATGCGCCGTCAACCAGCGCCAGGTGGTCATCACCTTGTCGGGCAGGGAGCTGGTCTACTTTGAAATGGATCCGGTAAGCATTGGGTTCTGAATTCTGGAGAGGGGTTATATTTCTTGCTCTGATGACAAAAACACGAAAAGAACAATCATGTTGAGACACTATGTGTCCTGCAGTGCTGAGCTTTACCATCAAACACAAGAATTATCTTCTTTGTAAGCAACAAGCTAATTGGATGTTTTCATTACAGACTGGAGAGCTGAACGAATACACCGAGCGATCGGAAATGCCTGCCGAGATCATGTGCATGGCCCTGGGAACAGTTCCAGAAGGCGAGCAGCGCTCCTGGTTCTTGGCCGTCGGCTTGGCGGACAACACCGTGCGCATCCTTTCGCTGGATCCCAACAACTGCCTGACCGCCTGCTCCATGCAAGCGTTGCCCTCGCCAGCGGAGTCGCTCTGCCTGGTGGAGATGGGACACACGGAGAGCACGACGCAGGGAGCTCTGGACGATGAGGCTCCAGCGCCGCGAAGTGGTAGCAACAAGGGAACCATCTACCTAAACATCGGCTTGAGCAACGGCGTGCTGCTGCGAACCGTTCTCGATCCCGTCTCCGGGGATTTGGCGGACACCAGGACCCGGTATCTGGGCTCCCGTCCGGTGAAGCTCTTCCGGATTAAGATGCAGGGCTCTGAGGCTGTGCTGGCCATGTCCAGCCGAACCTGGCTGTCGTACTACCACCAGAACCGCTTCCACTTGACGCCTTTGTCCTACGAAACACTGGAGTACGCCTCCGGTTTCTCGAGCGAGCAGTGCAGCGAGGGCATAGTGGCCATTTCCACCAATACCCTGAGAATTCTGGCCCTGGAAAAGCTGGGAGCTGTCTTCAATCAGGTGGCATTCCCCCTGCAGTACACTCCGCGCAACTTCGTCATCCACCCGGACACAGGTCGCATGCTCATCGCGGAAACGGACCACAATGCCTACACAGAGGACACGAAGACCGCGCGCAAGGAGCAGATGGCGGAGGAGATGCGCAGTGCGGCGGGGGATGAGGAGCGCGAGCTGGCCCGCGAGATGGCCAACGCCTTCATCAACGAGGTGCTGCCCGAGGACGTCTTCTCGTCCCCGAAGGCGGGACTGGGCCTGTGGGCCTCGCAGATCCGCTGCCTGGACGCCATGCACGGCCAGACGATGTTCAGTGTGCCGCTGACGCAGAACGAGGCCATCATGTCGATGGCCATGCTGAAGTTCTCCATCGCGGCCGATGGTCGTTACTACCTGGCCGTGGGCATTGCCAAGGACCTCCAGCTGAACCCGAGGATCTCGCAGGGCGGCTGCATAGACATCTACAAAATAGACCCCACCTGCTCGAGCCTGGAGTTCATGCATCGCACGGAGATCGACGAGATTCCCGGGGCCCTCTGCGGCTTCCAGGGTCGCTTGCTGGCCGGCTGCGGTCGCATGCTGAGGATCTACGACTTTGGCAAGAAGAAGATGCTGCGCAAGTGCGAGAACAAGCACATTCCCTACCAGATCGTCAACATCCAGGCGATGGGCCATCGGGTGTACGTGTCGGATGTGCAGGAATCGGTGTTTTTCCTGCGCTACCGTCGCGCTGAGAACCAGTTGATCATCTTCGCCGACGACACGCATCCCCGCTGGGTGACGGCCACCACTCTGCTGGACTACGACACCATAGCCATCGCCGACAAGTTCGGCAACCTGAGCATCCAGCGGCTGCCGCACTCAGTGACCGACGACGTGGACGAGGACCCGACGGGCACCAAGTCCCTGTGGGATCGTGGTCTGCTGTCCGGCGCTTCGCAGAAGTCGGAGAACATCTGCTCCTTCCATGTGGGCGAGATCATCATGTCGCTGCAGAAGGCCACGCTCATTCCCGGCGGATCGGAGGCGCTCATCTACGCCACATTGAGCGGCACCGTTGGCGCCTTCGTCCCGTTCACCAGCCGCGAGGACTACGACTTCTTCCAGCACCTGGAGATGCACATGCGCAACGAGAATCCACCGCTCTGCGGACGCGATCACCTTAGCTATCGAAGCTCCTATTATCCGGTCAAGAACGTCCTGGATGGCGACCTCTGCGAGCAGTATCTATCCATCGACGCCGCCAAGCAGAAGAGCATCGCCGGCGACATGTTCCGCACGCCCAATCAGATCTGCAAGAAGCTGGAGGACATACGCACTCGATATGCCTTCTAAGGTCAGTTGGAATCGATAATAATATTATTATTTTGGGTTTTGTGATGACATAGCTATTTTACCTTGGGACACCTATGAAATGCCTTGATTAGTGTAAACTTTATTAACTGATAATAGCATTTTCATAGAGACTTTAGTTGTGTTTTAAAACAGACAAATAATGTTTTGATTTTTGTATTTTCAGATTCCAGCTGAAGACAAATCAGAAGCTCAAAGGGGGGAACTATCTTTATTGGATAAGGTAAGTTAACCAATAAATTAGGAAGCTATATGGGCTTGTAGTTTCCAATGATGATCTACGATTTTACCTTGGGACACCTATGAAAAATCTTGATTAGTGTAAAGTTATGTTTTTCTGATAGTAAAATATTTACATTTACTATTTTAAATTTAAGCGAATAGATTTAATTTATTTGTGATTATTTTCTTACAGTTCCATCCAACAAAACCATTAAACGCTGCCCTTAAAACGTTTTTAAGGTAAGAAATAAATGCGATTTAAAGTGATTTGTTTTTCGATTTAACACAATGATGTTTTTTACATATGTTAGACTAATGAAATGATTTGATTGTAAATTAGTAACTGAGGCCCTTAAAAATAAATTTCTTAATTTTTTGAATTGAATATAAATAATGGCTTTCAATTTCTCTAACATTCGCTTTTCTTATTTGCTTGCAGGAACATCGAAGAGAAAATCCAATGGACTTCACATTTGGCCATTTTTAAGGTAAGAAGCAGAATCAAATAATTGTTACATTTGCACAATGATGTTTTTACATATGTTAGACTAATGAAATGATTTGATTGTAAATTAGTAACTGAGTTTTAGTAAACCAAATTAAAAATTGAAAAATTAAAAAAGCAATTGAAATTAACCTGTCTTTGTTTTTGTTTTTTGTAGATCTTCTTGCGTTGGGGTATGTGGCGTTTGATTTTACTTTAACCTTACATTAGGTAAGTTGTTTATTGAAAATAGCATAATATGTTTTAACTAATTAAACTGTTTTTTTCCTTACAGTCTGTACGTCTGCATTAACTGCACATTTATCACCAATCAACCACTAATCGACTGCCGCCTATTTATGTTAGTCTAAGCCACTGTGCAGATGCCACGATCATTTGCACAACCTAAATATAACCATCCTTAGCCTTAGCAATTTTTAAATAAAATGCAACCGAAAGCGAACCCAGGAATGTGAGGTGATTTGTTGGCGGGTCTGCGAGGACGGGTCTCTGCATAATTCCAGTTGATGTGCGCCTGTCTTGTTGCGGCCTTATTATGGCCATTACCATGTGTCTTGGCCATTAAATCTCGGCCTTGTTTGCACTGCTCTTCCAGTGGAGTCCCGTTATGGGACAGGCAGATATTTGCTAAATGCCTCGTTTTCCATCCGCCCGGTGGTATGTACGCAAAATCGTTGTAATTTGTTATGTTTGCGGCATAAGCACAGTAGTTATGCAAATTGTCGCTCGGCCCGGTGGTCGATCGCTTGCCAAACGGGGCAAGTGCCTCAGTGCTGGCTTGTTTGGCTGCTCCCGGGTAGCTAAATCGAAATGTAAATACGATTTTTATCAAATTATATAGCGAGTTTTACTGCTCATATTTAGGTAATAAATGAATTTGAAGTCTGCTTCTAAGGGTTTGGGTTCCAAGTAAAAATAAATATTAGCTTAGGATTGTATTAAGTAACATGAGCTACACATATGACATCTCTGATGTTCTCAAGAATCCACAGAGGCATCGAAGCAGCCTCTTTTCCGATCTCGACCAGAGCTGTGCCATCTGGTTAAACGATTTATTAACTTCATTTCTAGATCATTAGATCGCATAACACGGACATTCATCACTTGGCACTGGTTCTCTCGGCCATACTCGTTTTTTGCCAGACTGGCACGCAAGTGCAATCTCAAGATCTCTAGGCAGCATCTACGCATGCGATTCGCGACGCCTTTGCTCTGCTGGTTCCTCTGGCCAAACGATCTGCGCCTTCGATAAGGACAATCAACGCTTGGCGCAAACACTTGGCACCCCGACCAGAGAAAAAAAAAACACAGAAGAACAAGCGCAACCTGCCCTGCAACACCTGCCACGCCCCCTCCGCGGCGCCTTGGAGCAGTTGCCATTTCTTGGATTTTTGGGAAGGAAGGTGGGGACTTTAGAAGTGTGTGGACTGCGGCGAGATGAGCAGATGCCCAGCAGGAGATAAGACGAAGGCCTCCCCTGTCTGCGGATTTTCAAAGTGCTGTCCGGTTGGCTACTTAGTCATCATCTCAGGAAAAAGTTACTAGCCAGGTCGACAATTTACATTTTAATGTCTTTTATAATCCAATTAATATTATAATATTTAATATACATAAATATTTATTTAATATAATATAAATATTTAATATCCAATCTTAGCTACTCTACCTCCAAACATCATCACTGATCCTTTGTTTTGGGGCGTGAATTGGGGACTGTGCGCATTGGTGGCTATCAGAGCCTTTTGATCGCAATCTGCGTTTTAAAGATCGCGGAATCGGAGTCCAATTCGCAGAGTTCCCAGATGCTTATCACCGCGAATGCCTTGCGTGATAAAATTTCGCACGAAGTGCCCCGAGATCCGGGGACTTTGGGGCATGGGTGTTGGCGCAGCAGCTTTTCAGCTGTCCGCCAGTTGCGTGTAAGAATTTTCAGCGAAATTCAGCCGGACAAGCCGAGATTTTAATCAGATGTCTGGTCCGGAGTCTGGATGTTGGACGTTGGATACTTGAGGCTGGATAGAACAGAAGAGCAGGCAGCTAGACCGACACTTTCCCTGAGCGCGACTGCGAATTAAATGGCCGTTCGCCAGTCACGTCTTTTCACAGTTAGCAACTTTATTAAAACTAACGGGCATGGCAAATAATTAAAACGCAGCGGAAAATTGCAAATTGCCTGCCGTGTAATAAATAGAATCATCAGAGTAGCTGGCGGATCCGAAGGGGAGTTCCTGGTCCCGGCCTCATCAGCATCAACATCAGCATCGGCAACAACATCATCATCATCAGCGAAAGGCAGAAAGCAGCAGCGGCAGCATTATTTTAATTCACTTAGCATCGTTGACGTTGCTTTTGGAGGCACGGTTAGAAAATATGGGGAATAGTCAATAATTGTTGGGACATTAAGTCTTCGCATTCTTTTTAAGCAACCCATAAAGATATTATTAGCAAACAGTGTAATACTTTTGGTAAAATTAGCACTTTAATTTTAGAATTTTATAAGAAGAGGGATGGTCAACTTATTTCACAATACATTCAATGAAGCTACCAGGTAAGTAAGACAAATTAAAGTATTTTAACTTAAGACCTATGCATTTCTTTCAGTGCCTGTCCTCGGCTTGGCTTTTCTTCGGCCTTAACTCAGACATGTGAGCTTGAGCCGGGGTCTTGAAGACTGAATCTGAAGCTAAGACTTCGGCTTAGCCGGCTGCTGGCAGCTCGACAAACCAATTATAAAGCGTAGAGTTTGATGTGCACGTGTTGGGAGAGATTGCGATTGGGAGAGGCTGTGATCGCGATCTCTAACCCGCGGCGGGTATATCCAATATACGAGTATCCGTATATATCGACCATCGGCCAATTAATGTGCGATAAGAGTCGAGCAGGCGAATTAGTTGCTATCTGCGATCAACGGAGGAAAGTAGGTGAAAGATGCTGGATTCTGAGATAAATGTAAGTGGATCATAAGAGCTAAATTTGAGAGCGGACTTATACAGTAAACCTGAAAATTAAAGGCATGTTCCTAAATGAATGTTATTACGGAAATAACTATAGGTTCTTAAACATAAAGAAGGTAAATTACCCATTTAATACATACTTATTATATTATTAACCTTTTAATGGGCTAATTTTGTGCTTTTGGATGTAAGAGAATTCTGTATAAGAAAACAATAAAGTGATATAAAACTATTTAAAAATGTTGTAATTGTTTTGGATTAATCATGCTTTACTTACTAACCTTGTGATACCTCTGCCTTAAGTATTTTCCCTTGGCAGTGGCATTACCTAGTCGGATTTGAGTACCTGATCTTGTGCAGCAGACAAACTGCTGACTGCCAAGGGGGGAAAATGAGGTGGGTTTGGGACGAGGCAGAGTGACACTCACATGCGGCAGAGCCCCAAGTCCACAAGTCCGCAACTGTTGATTGCTGTCAGCAGTCTTTCCCCCGATTCAAACTCGTCGGTGCTGCCTTCTCTTCTCTGGTTTTTTTTTGCGGGGTTTTGTGGTTCTTGGGATCTGACCCCATTCAATGTCATTAACTCGGCCCAAGGTCTGTTTGTTTTGGCTGGCCCCAAAGACTCTGGCAATTTCGCATAATTGGCTGAAAATTATGAAATGCTACGAGGCCCAATCGCAGACTGCTCGTTGCGGTGGCATCTTCATTTCTTTCGTGGCCTGCTGAACTCCGTTGAACTCTCTCCTGCAGTTCGACACCTGGAGAAAATAATGTTGGGAATTCTAAGTGGCTTTGCAACAAACCAAGTTTACTCAAAGTCGATTAAGTTTTTAATCCGAAACAAAACCAACATTTAAGTTCATTAACATCTACCCTAGTTCAGTTCAAAAATCCGAAATGTTCTCAGCTTGTCAACGACTCATCGTTCTGTCGAGTCCAACTGTTCGTTAGCCCGCGGGCCAAAAAACATCTCCATGGCTCCAAAGTCGACTGCTCCACTTCCTTTCACCGACGAGATCAACTGTAAACGCTTCAGTCACTTAGTCAACAATCTGTTGCATCTAATTGTCTCTGCAACAAATTACTCAATTCCAGTCGAGATTGGGATTCGGATGTAGATGCAGATGGAGACGGAGATGGAGATGGACAACGAGATCCAGAACGAGCTCCAAACGACGACCGGCTGCTCAACTGGTTTGACATAATTTTCACTTTAGTTTGTTTTTAAAAGCACAAATTTGCACGCAGCTGAAGGATCCGCAAGCCGAGATCACTGCGAGGACGATAATGGTTAATGGTAATGATGATGACGCCGCGCTGAGTAACTCAATCGCCCAGATCCCCACATGGACTCCATCTCCGATTCCCGATCCCGATGCCATCTCCTCGATGAGTCAAACCTGCACTTTAGTGGGCGTGGCGCACTTCCGCAAGTAATTTGCTGCGGTTCTGGCGGGAATCGGGGTGGTGGTCTTTTAATGGAACATTTTAATGCTGAAACCGATGCTTAAAATCAAAGTCATAAAAAGAAGGCACAGTGGGGAGAATTGGGAAATAAAATGCCAGAACTATGACCAAGACTTACAGAAAAATTGTAGAAATTTGAGCATTTCTGTGATGCTTATCTTTACAAAACAAAACTTAGCGGTACCACAAATGTCATAGTTTTTATTCGAGTAAATTTAAGAGAACTTTTCAGGGCTTCCAGTACCATTGTACTGCGATGATGGGGACAGTAATGGTGCTGTCGAGAGTGCAGTTGCCACAGTCGCAAGATAAAT